GGGGAGGGGGAGGGAAGGGAGGGGTGAGGGGTTGACCGTCAATCTGAAATTCATGTCAAATTTAAGAGTAAGATTTGGTCAAATTCACACTGACTCACTTGTCTCACTTTACGTTCGTTTTTTTGGATGACTTCAAACTTGACTTTGCATAACCGTGAACATGATGTTGGTGATTTTTGATGACAAACAAACAAAAAAAATCTCTTGATTTTTGCTCGCTTCACAGTGGGTTTGCTAACTTGGCACTTGATTTTGAGAAACCTCAAACTGGATTTTGGCTAACTTAACAGTGGCTAAAGCAGTACTTCTCAAATAGTGGGGCAGCGAATGATAACAAGCCTCCAGTCACTAGGTGGCAGCAACTCATACAGTGGTTTGTACAGATAAAACTATACGTTATCAGGTACTCAACAGTATTTCAAATCGTGGGTGTGCGTGAAAACATTTCTGTCCCCAAGGGGGGGCTAAACTAGCATTGGAATAAGTGTAATATCAAACAGGATTTTAGCTAACTTGATGATTCAGGCTAACTTCACGCCAGTTTTTTGACTAACTTTAAACCAAATTTTTCCATTTAACTTTTTCCCTAATGTCAAATTAGATGTTGACTAAACTGATCTAATCTTAACACTGACATTTACAAACTAAAACAATCGATTTCGGCCAACCTAACACGGCATCTTAGCTAACTTCTCTCTGAATTTGGTGTTGTTCTTAGTTAGGCTTTTCCTAATTGGCCCTAAATTCTAACCATCATCCTTTTCTCAATACACTAATCCCAAAGTCAACAGCAGTTTCCTTATCTCATCCTCATTTTTTTTCCCCACACCCTTTCTCCACACGCACTGGTATCACCACACAAATCTCTGAAATAACAACTGTGAGTTAAAACCGACCAGCATTTAACAATGGAAAGAATCCAAACAAAGTGATCCCCCTTAACTCTGATGATTGATCCCAGTGGGCTGCAAACCTATGTCAGTTATTTGCTTCACTTCGTACCAGATAATAGTTTAACTTTTTAATTAAGTATTTAGGATCCGTGCATTTTGTTTAAGCCATCTATTGGTCCAAATTAATGTTGTCACTTTTCTGTAATTTTTGATACATTTCCGAATAAAGGGAGAACACAATTTTGTAACTGAATGGAAATGAAATAAATAAAATTATAAATACTAGGTCGTTCACTTAAAAAAATATATTTCTAACTTGATGATTCAGGCTAACTTCACGCCAGTTTTTTGACTAACTTTAAACCAAATTTTTCCATTTAACTTTTTCCCTAATGTCAAATTAGATGTTGACTAAACTGATCTAATCTTAACACTGACATTTACAAACTAAAACAATCGATTTCGGCCAACCTAACACGGCATCTTAGCTAACTTCTCTCTGAATTTGGTGTTGTTCTTAGTTAGGCTTTTCCTAATTGGCCCTAAATTCTAACCATCATCCTTTTCTCAATACACTAATCCCAAAGTCAACAGCAGTTTCCTTATCTCATCCTCATTTTTTTTCCCCACACCCTTTCTCCACACGCACTGGTATCACCACACAAATCTCTGAAATAACAACTGTGAGTTAAAACCGACCAGCATTTAACAATGGAAAGAATCCAAACAAAGTGATCCCCCTTAACTCTGATGATTGATCCCAGTGGGCTGCAAACCTATGTCAGTTATTTGCTTCACTTCGTACCAGATAATAGTTTAACTTTTTAATTAAGTATTTAGGATCCGTGCATTTTGTTTAAGCCATCTATTGGTCCAAATAAATGTTGTCACAATACCAACCTTTTGGTATTGTACAAATACCGCGGATTTCGATACTTTTCTGTATACTTTTCTGTAATTTTTGATACATTTCCGAATAAAGGGAGAACACAATTTTGTAACTGAATGGAAATGAAATAAATAAAATTATAAATACTAGGTCGTTCACTTAAAAAAATATATTTTTCATTACATTACATCTGCCTTTTCTCTGCAATACCCACGTTTCCCCAATAGATGGCGTAGAAAATGATAAAAGCATTTTAACATTTTAGCCTTTATACATGACTTTTACATGTCATTTATCTTAGTTCACACAAATGCTCCATCTATCTGATTCTGACCCGGCCCCCCATATCGTCAAGATTGTTGCCCCAGCTGTGAAAAACATGGCCGACTGATAAAGGTCAAATTAATTTCCCCCAATATCGCAACAGTCATTTTGTTGGATTTTAAATCCTAGTGTGTCAAATCTATTCTGATTTGATAGTAGATTTTAAGCGGGAGGGGGTTTCTATTTTTTTCTTATGACCTTCGTCCTTTTAGCGAGGGGCGAAATGTCTCTATAAAGTTAATCTTTTTATTATTTATATTGTTACAATTAAACAGAGGTGTCAACCATAAGGCCCGTGGCCCAAAACCGGCCCACTGTGGGGGTTCAATCTCAGCCTCTTGTTGAATTTTGAAAGTTAAAAAAAAAAAAATGCACACTTCATGTTCGTTATGTTTTGTCAAATTACATTTCATTAAATATAAAGATTTTCTAATAAGCTCGTACTTATTTGCATGGAAACAGAGGAGAAAAACTGTATGTTATTTACAGGTAATTATTAGAGATGCATCGAATATTCAACCGCCGAAAATTTTAAAAAGACTTCCATCAACTGAACTAAACGGCCGAAACAGGAAGTTACGAGCAAAACCGCACACAATGAATACACGCGCTAAATAAAACGTCCAAGAGCCTAAACCTGAACCTAAATGTTTTCCTAGCTTGCATCCGATGAGAAACATTTGTTCATGACATTAAATGGCGTTAACTGTAAGCAGAATAAAAAAACAGCCAAGATGATCACTTCTAACAATCTTACTGTGCTTTAATGAACTTGCCTTTGAACATGAGGGAAAAAATAACGCCCCCGTTCTTTTCCGGCCTTTTTGTTTGTTTGTTTGTTTGAGATTCTGTACATTAACAAAAATACTAAAAGCTTAATTTATTTGTTGTCGTACAAAACTGTAAATCATACTTCAACATATAATGAATGCCTTCACAAACAAAGGAGGCTGATAAACACTGGAGGCCGTAGACAGAACGCTAAGCTGGTCCAAAGGTCAGGAAGTGAAAATTCCTGTCTATACATTAAATATTAAATTGGAAAAAATAGCTCCATGGTCAAAACAAACAGACATGGAGGAGATAAAACTTTCACAGGAACTAAATCAAAACCTGAACATTTAAATGTAAACACGGCTAATGCGAATGCATTGAAATGAAATGTAGTGTCGGTGAAATGACTTACTAGCCGATCGTCAGGAGTCCTTTTGCTAATGTGTTTCCTTAATGATCATGCTGCGATTGCCCTGTAGCTGCGCCAGAAAATCTTTGAAACTCGGTGGAGGTTTTCGCGTCGTGTTGTCCGCAGAGACGGTTCCAGGGGTCAGTGTCACTGCTTGGCCCTTGTCTTTTTTTTGCTTACGCTTTACAGGGCCAAAACTCTGAACTCTCCTCCTCTTCTTCCTTCTTGTACGTTTCCTTGGCTTCCAGGTGCAACGTCGCAGGTTTCTGGAAAATGAGACGTTTTTTTTAAAAATGCCTTTTTATTTATAATATATATATATATATATATAAATAGGATATTCACCTCTGTAAGAA